CACAGCCACTACACCTGGGAAGCGTCAAACATTCCAAGGACTTATTGGTGACATACTAACATCTTCAAGTCTACTATGATTGCTTGAAATAATAACTGGAGAAGGATCGTTCTGCGTTGAAGGAAATTTATCAGGCTTACTACGTGCCGCTAGTCCCAAAGCACGAAGCTTATCTCTTCCTGCCTCAGGAAAGGAGGCGCGAATATAAGTGCCCCTGAACGGAGACAACCTAATAATAGGTGCACGTTTGATAGATTCCTCTTTGAACCTAGTGGTAGGAAGCATCGTCTTCAGTAACCTAGGACGAGAATGATAGCGCTTGCCCATACGAGAAATAGACAATGGAACACATTCAATATTAAGAAAATTGGAAAGCTGCCTAACATTGTTAATATCACGGATAATACATTTAGAAGCAGGCGTATCACCAGATTCAAGTACGCCAATTATCATTAGGGAAGTGAGAGTTCTTTTAAAACACAACAATCAACTCTAGTTCGATTTCTATTCTTAATGGAAGAGGTGCTTGAGTTGAATAATAACTTGCTTCAATCAACGGCTCAGAGCGTGATTTTTGCGACAAAGAGCAGCGTAAACGAGAATTCTCATTATTAAGTGTTTGAACCTCTTCAGCTTATTCATAATCTTCAGAAGTTAAAACGTCGAGCCTCTCTCTCACATCCAGTAGATAGTCGACGATTCTCTTCATATAGGCAGGCATCGAACTATCGGCCAATAATTGATCAACTGCCGACGCCACGGCCTCCTCTTGTCCAGAAGCCTGCCTAGATCCAAAGTCGATGGGGTCTCTTTTCCGCCCTCTAAAATCAGAAGCCACAGAGAGCAACGAACCCATCACGACCAACAGAAGAAAAACACCTAATAAAAAGGCAATAAGCAAGAGTAAGCGCTTTCCGCCAAAAGAGGCTAGCAGATACGTGTCGGCAAATAGAGATCAAAAATGACCGGTCCATGACGGTCGACCCATCAAAACAAGAAATCACCTTCGATAGTGGCAGTTCAGACGATTCTCGGATCCCCTGCCCCTAGGGAAACAGTGTTGGAGTTGATCCTTTTATCAGCTTGAGATATGGGACAATATCCGACAACATTGCGAGCAGGAGCCAGCGTAAGCCAGTAGGGCAACAGGGTACGTCAGAGTCAGGCGGGAACCGACCACTCACCGCCACTCCACGAGACAACTCGATGACGGTTCCTGGTACTACGTTTTGTTCGAAAAAAATGGGGTTTCTAGTTTGACATTGTCTATGCAGTATTCAACCACGAGCATAGCGGCTAAAATTGGCAAACAGACGCTGATGTAGTTCGCATTCTGAACTTCCATGAAGTGTTTATTGAAAATTAGCAAACAGTAGCAACTCTTGAATGCACTATCCGATTAATGTGGTCCTGCTCCTCATGTGTTTCAGAAAGCATTTGCCGTAGAAAAGAGAAAGTGCAGTTTAAAAACGGGGCAATGGAATAGAACCTTGCCATTGAAAGTTAAAAGAGCCAGATGTCACTATCAAAATTTGTNGCATCGGTACGACTATGTTAGTGCCGATGCCCAGGTTTCAAGAGAGGCGAACATGGAAGTTACATTGTCTAATATTCCTTCTTCCGCCTGTAAAATCTCCTTTTCCCTCTGTGAGCCTTCATATTGGCGCGAGCGTTTATGAGAATACAACTATCACGATTAGGAGGGCTTCGCCGGAGGGCAGAGCCGTTACTCAAACAGACCGACAGACCGACAAACAGGTTACAATATCAAGTGTTCGTTTTATTCCGTATTCGGATTGATGCACCCTTCACAAACCATCGACGAGAATGAAAACCTCTCTTACCCCATGAGACACCCCAAATACCTTACCAACCTGAAAATTTACTTTTCTCACACATACGCGTATTGAGAAATTGAACTTTATTGAGAACTTGGATAAAACGTGGCTGTATCAAGGTTTTTTGTACAAACAGGCAGCGGAAATGATGTCCTTGTTTCCCTTTTTGTTGATGAAACCGTTGCATCCGTAGACGGTCCCTTTGGGAAGACGTTCGAGCTGAACAAAAACCATCGATAATTTTTAGAAAAAAGTAGGGCCTTTCCACCAGAAAGTGGGTTCGAAGGAGAGCAATCCACCATAAGATCAGAACCCTTCGACTCACCGCTTTTTCTTTTTTGTCGAAACGGGGCTCTAGGAATGCAAGCACCTTCTGCCATAGTAACTGTGTATCATCCACTGGGAAGGACCTGAAATAATGGAATGTTCCAACAAATATATTAGACGACGAAAATGTCGTTGCCAAGATCCTGGAACGAACTTCTTTCCTTTGATAACCAAGTCAGCCTTCACACTGTTTTTCGACTTTAAATATTCCAATGCCTTTTTCGCCCACTCATCGCTCCACTCCTGTGAACCAATAATTAAAAGCAAATCAAGTTGCTCGGCTGAATTATTGTTTAGAACTGACCAGATTGTCGCTGTAGAGAGAGTTGAGAGTCTCAAAGGTATCTTTTGACTCAACGGGTAGAGGGTTCTTTAAACCTTAAATGTTAATAGATCCATAAACTCGAGGAAACCCGAGCGATGTGGCCAAAATCATGGTACAAGTTTGACTGATATTGATATGCAGTTTATACCTTGAACGGCGACGTATGCATGGAAGAAAACCAGTGCTGCGAGAGCGAACAACATTGTAAAAGCACAAGTTTTTGGCGACCATGCTCCTATTTATAGATGATGGCGTTTGTGTTTTTGGCTGCTCCTGAGCATTTGTGAAAATACATTCGGAATGTTGCTACAGCCTTCATCTAAAAAATCCATGCAACAGTGTTTGTCTTTTCTTATTACCGCTATTGATCCAAGAATAGTCCACAGTCGAGACACAAATTATTAGAGAAATGATATTAATGAGAATGCCGTAATATAATAGGGAGCTGGAAACAGGCATAGCCTTCGTGGTTTCTTGTCCATGACCTTTTTATTCAGATAAATATGGCCTACTGGCAATAAAGTGATTGCTCGAAAACAGCCTAAATTACGAATGCGAATATTATGTATGAATCCAATTTTGCAATTGCAATCCAATTTTTCCTTGTACCTTTTTTTTCTAAATCAAATTCAGAGTAGTGTTGTAGACGATGTTGTAGACGATTGTGCAACGCAATATTCACTGGAAATGTCAGACGCTATGGTTTGAAACTGAGGGACAGTATGCGGAAGTATATGAAGAGTTTCTGATGATATTCGAAAAGTTAGCTCCTAACCATAGCCTGGGGTAGGGCCTTTTGTTGGTCGAACTTCTTCTTTTCCATCTAGATTCTAAGCAATGGCTTTTCTATACCTTAGCGCCTGTTTGGTTACTGATATTTAGTGACCAAGCATTCGCTAATGTATAGAAAGTTGTTTTTCGACAGGCCGTTATTCGCAGTCTTCCGTCTTTGAGTAATTCTGATCAGTTACTGCATTCTAAGATAGCAGCATTTTCGAGTACTGCGCACGTTTTGGTTCCTTTTTTCTAATCAATACTACAGTGCAAGCAATTCATCACTAGTTGAGGCACTCACGTATATAGAGAATTATGGCAAGCGAAATATTTTTTACTTGGCTATCCGTTAAGAATGCTAGACNTTTTTCCGGTATTATAAGGGGTTGGGACGAAAACTGTCGTATACAAAATGTTAGTAATCTTCTCAGAACTAGTTTTCACTCTACAAAACGTTGCCCCTCAGGGTCGGTTATTTGAAATAATGTCAATCATAATTGACCAATCAGTCTCACCGATTTTTTTTTCAGCGCATTCAGTCTGATCAGTTCAAACCTATACTTAGCGATTGCTCAGGCTCGAAGAATCAAAAGATACTTTCGAGACTCTAACCATGCTCTATAGCGACAATCTGGTCAGTTCCATCGAATTTCAGCCGAGCATTGTTTTTCTTCTGATTGTTGGTCTACAGGAGCGGAGCGTTGAGTGGACGAAAAAGGCATTGGAATACTTGAAGTCGCTAAGGAGTGTCAAGGCTGTCATGATTGTTGAAGGAAGACAGTTCGTACTTGTATCTTGGCAACAACATCTTTAACATCTAATTTGTTTGTTGAAACATTTGTTGAAACATCCTATTTTTCAGGTCCTTCGCAGAGGATGATAAAAATTACTATGGCAGAATGCTTGCATTCCTAGAGCCCCGTTTCGACAAAAATGAAAAGGCGGTGTGTTGAACTGTTCTGATCTTATGGTGAATTATATTCCTTTGAACCTTTTTTGTGTAATGAGGTTCTTTTTTCCAAAAGGTATGAATGGTTTTTATTGAGCTCGGACGTCTTCTCACGGGTACCATCTATGAATGCAACAGTTTCTTCAACAGAAAGGGGAACAAGGATACAATTCCGCTGCCTGCCTCTACAAAAAGCCTTGATACAGCACTAATTCTCAATAAAATTCGATTTCTCAGTACAATTATGTGTGAGAAGAAAAACTCTTCATGTTTGGGGTGTCTCATGGGGTGATAGAGATTTGTTTTGTCGATAATGGATCGTCAGGTGTGTACCAATCCTAACATTGGAATAAAACAAACACTTGTTGTGTTGACCTGTTTGAAGGCAGAAACAAATGAAACGTGAATCTCTTCCATCTAGTTAGTGCAATCGTTGCCCGAAATCAGTGCTCCTTAAACAAATTATCGTGCCTTGTACAGGAGCTGGTTATTCCTCTACTCTTTTCAGACGCACACAGTAAGCAACTAGCAAGTCAGTCATGGGCCACTGATGGTAGGTCTGGGATTCACCGATTCAATACTCGATATTCCAACGAATAGTTCCTTTTGGGCTAACTGACTCAAATTTTGTTGCGAAATTGTAAACAAGGAGCGAAATCGAGGTAAGCAAAACAGCAAGATTGCGAAATATCCGTGCGCGAGAAGAGCTGCGTACAAAAGGGCATATCTTTCATCCAATGATTCATTCTCATCGCGGGTCCATCGCGGATTCACCCCTAGAAGAAGGAGCTCTTGAAATCGCGCTCCTAATCTCATCCACAAAAAGAGGGACCGCAANTTGCCGCATTAGTTACCCTGAGAAGTATACGCAACACCCACCCCTCTCGTAAGCTCGTATTTGTTGTACTTGTATCTTAGTATGCTGTATTGAACACTATTACTGTTCTTATTGTGAAGATCTCGTGTGCCTTAATTGTATTGTTTGTGCCTTAAGGATGAAGCTGTTGTTTAATGGCCTGTTCGCGTTCATCCAAGGTAATTACCAAATGATATCAAACCTTACAACTGTTTGTTCGATTTTTTATTGATACTCTATTTATACCCAGATATATAGATTCGCACGAAAATCAGTTGTTTGCTTTGGGCGATATTAAATTCCGAAATGTCTCGCGTTTCAGTCCTTGCTTGCTAGACCATTCGTTTAGCAGTCGTACTATAGCTGAACAGAACAACTTCAAAAAACAATAATGTTCGCTGTGACGACCTGAGTGGGTATGAGGTGATTTGGGCTTCACTCGAAGCCCCGGAAGGACTGTCGTTCGCCCTCTGAACTCGCAACATTCTTTCTTCCTGTAGCAACAGTGGAGAACAGTTATGTACAGTTCTTACTTAATTCATTCAGCTCTTTGCGCAATTGTAACGACTGAAAACTCGTCCGAAATCACTTTTTATTGTTATTTCCGTCATGGCAATCTCGTCCATTTTCCTACTTTTAAGAGCCTCGCTTTCTTTGAAATCGACGAATTCTCTCGTTTTCTTCGCCCTAGATCAATTATTTCCAACCTATATTTCCGCTTTTTGACTAAAAAGGGGTACCACAGGACTGTGGTGAACTGTGCCTTAAGACCCATAATATACTTGCTTTACTCGGTCTCTGCTGCTCTCAGTCTCAGTTTAGCTTCCACTATTTTGTGTGCGTTAGTATACTTAGAGAGATACCGTTCTGTTGTGGAGTAGGGTCGCGAACAGGTTCGCCAATTGGCGATGTTTGAAAGGTACCGAATAAACATGATACTTTTCACACCACACTGTCATGACATCTAAAAACTTGCCTCTTAGTAAATATATAAAACGACGTCTTGCGTTTGCAGGTTAGTAGGCTTCAGAAAAAGTCGTGTTTCGACAAACATAGTGTTAGTACATAAGTTCAGAGCTCTCCGCTAGTTTCAAGTCACCCTTCTCATCATCAACATGGCATTCTCATCACTGTAAGTAATGCATCCTTGAACATGCCCATGTATTCTGCTGTTAGACTGTCCCAAAGAATTTACCTCTCACTAATCGTTGGTAAGCAATGAGTAAACGCTTTCGTTCAGGATCATCCTCGTTGCTATGATTATGTTCTGCTTTTCCGTGACAACGACAAACGCCCAATTTTGGGTTAGTTGGGCATACGTAAATAGATTAGCCTCAGTAATCTAGCACTTTTACATAATTTATTTCAGGGCATGTGGCCGTATATGGGCATGGGATGGGGTTACGGTGGTCTCGGTATGATGGGACTTGGATTCGGCATGTGGGGACGATAACGCCGATAAGGGAAACAGTCTTTTTCTATTTGAACAAACCGTTGATCAAAATAAAGAGTGCTAGGAAGAAGTCGTGTACCGTACATTTTCAAGCACAAAATCTTGCATCTTGGAAGAAAACATTATTTGATGTGAACTGAATATTTTTCTGCAAGGTGGGCTAAATAGCTTTTGAACGGGTATCTGGTATCCTACAAATCCGTTTATCAAGACCGGTTCCAGTAACTAGCGATTTGGCGTAGAAGCACCAAAAATTGCCAATCATTTCATTTTCACCACTGCTTCACTTTTCTTCCCCAGTTTTTTTTATATATATCCCAGGAACAATTGAAAAGATACAGACGTTGTGGATTGCTTCATTGGCAGTTGAAAACAGGTCAAAGTATTGAAAGAACGGAGCGTCGCGTTGGCTTATCTCACAACTCTTACTCTTTCATCTTACTTTCTTGCTAAACTGACGAGAACGGTAGTAGTCAACTGGAACAGTCGATTCTCTATGGCATGCAACGCACATTAGGGCCTTTTGCAGACCAACTTTCTTCAGAAATGCACTACTCTCCCATGAAGTAGAAATGAAATAACACCAGAATAGGTCCATTTAAGGCAGCCGAATACAGTTCTTTGAAAACAATTAAAAAAATAAAATGATAAAATAATGATCAGTTTGCTTCCTTCCAGCTCCACCTGCAATAATGAAAACGGAGTGGTCATTTCTGCAAGTAGAGCGGTAAGAAAGCGAACTTATATGTTAAATTATACTAATTTTTGGAGAACTACATTCGCTATCTGTAAATATACCTTCTCTGGTGTAAATTCAATCATTTTTAGTGGTTAGAAACCTTTCAGATGTGACTCTGTTCACTAAGGTGATGGATGGCACTTTGAACGATTATTCATCGTCTTCGCTCTGCATATAACCTAAAACGACAAACCGGCGAATTCAGCGCCCCCATTGATTTCTAAAGCACACTGTCTATGTCTTAAGTGGAATCGTGTTACCGTGTTGGTATGGATCTGTCGGTACACCGGTATGTCTGTTTGCGTGCCCTCATGCATAACGTACGCAGTTGTAATACGGGCATTCACAAACTTTAAGGCAAACATACATACCGGAATACCAGTGAGGGTTGTTAGGTTGCCTATCAAAAGCGAAGGTGTACCGAAGGAACGTTCAATTTGAAAACCTCGTTCTGCCGTTTGACTTGAATGGAAAATTATTAGAAAACAATTGGTCTAGCATTACAACAGAGAATCGATTTTTGTGTGAAAAAGAAAACGGACGCATCAGTGGAAAGTCATTCGAGACTCTTTCACTTAAGCGTTACATTTTGATCTCCACTTTGTACCAAGACTTTGTACTTATGACAATTGTGTCTTAGTGCGCCGTTTCCAGCTTGTATTTCGTGCTTCAAGAATGGTATGGTATTAAACTCATCGGCAGCATAGAAACGACTTATAATAGAATGTTTAAAAGGATAGGAAGTAACTGTGACAGTGGCGAATCATTATCATGGATTGGCCTCAACATTTTAGAATTTTAAATCACAGAGTTTTGCGCAGCATCTGCCCCTTTTCCAAATCGTATTTGGCATATTCCGTATTGATATTTATTACGAGAACGAGTAAACTTCTCAGGAGTGGAACCTAGTCATGAACTCAGATGTATAGGTGAGATGTACGTTAGTTTAAAATTACATATAACGAGTTGAGAGCATAGTAGGTTAACCCATTTGGCTAATGCTTCGGCAGGATTACCTTCTTCAGAGCTCGAACGGGCTGAAACCGATTTGTGAAATCGGTCTAAAGATATCTACATATTGCTGGAGTTTAATGTATAACAAGGCAAACCCGTCTATTTTGAAAATATGGTGTGCATTAGTTGTTTCATGTCGAGCGATTCTTCGAGCTTTACCTTTCCCAAAATTGAGCAAGTACACTCAACTTGCTATATATATATATATTATATGAACATTTTTAAAATCATTTTTGTTAACGGTGGATGCGAGAAGTAGCAGCTAACATAAGTGTTCCGGGACTGACCCATTTTTTCTTCCGTGAAGCAACAAAGCAGTTTAAACAGAGAAAAAAGGGTGTGTTGTTTACCTAACACTGTGGGTGAAGGAGAAGGGCGTGAACGGGTTGTGAAAGTCAAACGTTGGCCAGATTTTTTCTTGGAAATCAGTGACACTACGGTAAGCTCGCTATCTACGATTCAAAGACTTCGAATATCGAAATCGAACAGCCATGGCAAAGATGTGAATTTAGTGATAGCATCTTCTCAGGACAACCTTCTTTCTTTTATTCTCTTTAGCACTAATACAGTGCCGTCGTAGTGTTAGCTGTTTATGAGATACCTCGTCTTTTCTAATTCGACGTCCTCCAAGACACCTCGATCACGCGCATATCAGGCCAATCAACAAAAGTAATCGAAGCTGATCTGATCGAAATGTCGTACCGCATCCATTTTTAGGCCAAGACACCAACTGCTTACTATCGATCCATCTTTTTGCTGAATTCTGTGTCAGTCATACAAGTCTCTGGAATGCCACAAACAGCATCCATCTGGAGGGATTTCTTCAATATGTCGCTCGTCTATTATTATAAATTCATACTACAAAAAAGAGTAGGTCATTGGTAATCAAGATTAAAACTTAAGACGAAGATGAGCAGCACGACGGGAATCACTCAAAAAAGGTTACTAAACCGCTTGCCGCTTATCGCTACAGTCAACCGGCATATGTCAAAAGGACTTCAACATAAGTAAGTTGTTTCTTGAATGTCTTTCTGCATTTTTCTCGATCACATGTGTTTTCCAGGAAGGAAATTATCATAGCTGTAACCTGGACAATATAACACTTCACCTAAGCATTTTTATTCCTATTACATGTATATGCAGACAGGATGTGGTTGGCACCTCTGTAGTAGAACGCTTAGCGTCCCCACATACCGTAGCCCATACCATAGCCAAGCCCCATCATGCCGAGGCCACCGTAGCCCCATCCAAGGCCCATATACGGCCACATGCCCTTAAAATTTGTTATCACAGCAATACATTTAGAATACATGAATTAGGTACATTGACACACCCAAAATTGAGCGTTCGTAGTTGTCACGGAAAGGCAGAACATAATCACAGCGACTAGCATGACTCTGAACGAAACATTAGATCATTTAGATCGTAAATTCAAGGGACCACCGAAAGTTCAAAATGTATGGGTACACTCGAAAGTGCACTACTTACAGTGATGAGAGCGCCATGTTGATAACGAAGGGCGGTGCTTGTGGTTTCCAGATGGTCTTGAGCTTAAATACTGTTACAAGAGTTATCCGTTAACCTGAAGGTTCTTAACCTCTGCCCGCAAAAACTCGTGCGTCATATTTACCTAAAGCAAGTTTTATGTTGTCACGTAGTTGAGTAGGAACAGCATTGTGTTTATTCGAAAGCTTTCGAATGCCAGTACATTGCAAACATGATCCCAACGTTCCAAGACAATTCAGTAATCTGTAATCAATCGAAAATTCAGCAAGTTATCGAGAAAATTTGCTATTTATTATTAACTGGTGATTGTTAGGATTAAATTACTTCATTTGCCATTTAAAAGAAGAATATGGCGACCTCAGATACGGAGTTTTTTGCTTTTACAACAAGGAATATCTAGGTTCATCCATTCTACTTCACGAGCTGGAAACGGAATAAAAAGGTGGCTCTACGTACGTTTTGGAAAATGTGCCGTACATCCTACTATTTTCTAGACTTCTCAAGAGGATTAGCATACTTACCTTATTCTGTTACCAAAGTCGTAGTCAAAATAGGCTTGTTGTTAAGCTGGTGGTGATAATTTGGGAAGTGATAGAAGGAACAGTGAAACATGAAACATGGCAGTTAGAGTGCTAGACTATTTTGCGGTATTTCGCGGTGCAGGAATTAGGTGCCGAAAGGTTCCCAATATAGTCCAGATTTCTTGGGGTTCTTTGAAATTACCATAATCACCATGGAAATTAATTAATTAAATTACCATGGAAATATGGCGAAGTCGGTGCAGTCTCGAGTGGTGCTTTATCTCTGTTTGCATGACCAAGAGTTCGAATTCCTGATCGATATCCGCCCACGCCAACCAAGCCTTCCATACTGCCTTGGCCGTTTAATTGGCACCAAATTTGTCTGGGAGGATAAAAGCACCGAATTGTACATCTGGTGGCCATCACAAATTGTTGTATTGGTCACACACACATTCATGACGCCGATACGACCCTGAACTGAAGACGAATATGGGGGCGCATCGAGGGAGTGAAGACGCTAAAAGTTTTTAGACCACTGAAATACAATGATAGAGCGTTCTCACACCTATGCGCATAAAACATCAGTAGTTTTCATGATATCGCAATTGATTCAACGGGACGAGATTTATTTTCAATGATTCCGTTCCAAGCTCTGAAGCGTTCGAGCGAACGGCAAAATCGCTTGAAAGCGATTTTTAGGTCAAATGCTTGATAAAAGTTTCAATGGGTTTCAGCAGAGGAGCAGCCAGGTTCGATTGCGAAAAGAAGAACCGTTGCACAAAAGTGTACAGTTTGTCCTTTATACAATTAAATGAGCAAAGAAGAGTTGGCCGGGTATGCCTTACTATTGCGGAATCTTTGGCCGATACTTTTCTCTTAATCAAATATATGTATAAAGCTATTTTACTATACGAGCCTGTGATGAAAAGTTTTCCTCCGAGAAAAGCGGTCGCTTGGAACTGTGCAGACGTAACCAGCGTTATAGTGGCACTCCACTGTGTGCCGGACACTTACCGGTCAACGGAACTCCTTTGGCGTCCCTCGGGATCATAAGACCTGGCTATGCGGCTAGTCGGCGGGAGCTCGTATGGATGACCCATGTGTAAAACTTTCCATGATAGCGGTGATAGTAAAAGTGTAGAAAACTCTAACAAACTGAGGCAGTGGCAGTTTGGGGAAGGTAGCTAAGGGTGATGTGAGTACTAGCGTTTACGTAGCAAAGATAAAGTAATAATATAGGTGTATCGGTAATTTTGATCAATCGGTAGCGATTAATATACATTTGTGGAACACATGCAATCAATATTGCGCATATTGTATTAGCATATCAGAACGTGAGATATTGGGCGGTAAGGTGAGTAAATCAGGGTAACGGAACTTTCCCCCCGATTCTCACGGCCTGCGGCAGTGATTCCGCGGCGACTCTCCATATCTTTCCACTGGGAATTCGAATTATTCCCTTCACAACGCGAGGTCGCGTGCGGCGAGCGCGACACGCCGTTCGGGGATAACATACCAGACCCGAGTAAATCACAGTATTTACAATTCTACTTCTCGGTGATATCTTAGGTATCCATGGAATGTCAATAATGTGCAGTACTCTGGTCCCAGGAATTCTCATTGTATGGAGTTGAACAGTACACAGAAGAGCTACGATCATGTAATTTTTATTTTGATCAAATGTACATGCAGACAAAAGAAAGTTTTTTTATTGTGGCGAAGCCCATTCACCGTAGCCACATGCCATAACCTCCCATACCGTAGCCAAGTCCCATCATACCAAGGCCACCGTAACCGTATCCTAGGCCCATATAGGGATAGCCCTAAATGCATGATATTACGAAGGCTAGTTTACTTCAAGTGACTTCGACTCACGAAAAATTGGGCGTCTGCTGTTAGCACGGAGAGGCAGAACACAATCAAGGCGACGAAGATGATCCTAAATAAAGTCATACTGAAAGTTCTGTTAACCCAAGAACTGAACTCTGGGATATTCAATAATAAAATTGATTTCTGTACTTGTAAATGTTCAACTTACACTGATGAGAGTGCCATGTTAATGCTGTAGAGGGTTGTTTGGAAGTGGCAGAAATTTTGGAGCTTAAATACTACTAGACCAGGACTAGGCCAGGTTTGCTCGGACACGACGCTTTCTGAATCACGGTAACCTTCGCCCACAAAAAGCAGCATTACCTATTTACCCAAAGACAAGTTCTTTGAGGTTAAAATTGTCACAATCCTGTTGAACAGCCATTGTTCAATCCACCTCCAAAGTTTTTCAGGGATTGGTTATAGCTCTCCAGGACAGTTTACTATATCCTTCTCTCGAATCCCTAATCGAGTCACCCATACCCATTAGTCAGCCAAATAACGAGGAGCTAACAAAAGTCCTGAAATACTTGAGGGACCACCCCTGTAGGCCTTGAATTCGCAACGAAAAATTTGAGGTAAAGATCTGTAATAGTGGGACACGTGAGGCCACCTATGTGCACCTCAAAGAAGTTCATTTCGGTGAGAAAAAGTGCCGGTAGCAGGTTCGAGCCTATCGGCTGTACTTGAAAGCCTCCGAGTAAACATAATGTTTTACGCACTTGACTGCACTGACATCGAAGGACTTGTCTGTAGGTAAATATGTAGTAAGAATGTTTGCGAGGCAGAGGTTGCCATTTTTCAAAAAACACGTGTAAGTAAATATTGTAAGGCTATATATGCCCACAGCTGCCTTACAACCCCAACGAACTCTTCTACTTCGTCATGGCATTCTCATCACTGTAAGTAATGTATCCGAAGCCAACTCTTTTTTAAACCCTGCTCCGATGGAACTACAGTAAATGTTTGATCGTTCTGTTCAGAGTCATCCTCGTCGCTATGATTGTGTTCTGCCTTTCCGTATCAACTACCAATGCCCAGTTTTGGGTGAGTTAAATACCGTAAGAATAGTCACTCCGAGTACCGTTGTAAGTAATTCATTTTAGGGCATGTGGCCGTATATGGGCCTTGGATGGGGCTACGGTGGACTCGGCATGTGGGGATTTCCTTTCGGCATGTGGGGTCGTTAGACACCGTTATATCCTTTAACGAAGGAGATGATATGTATTATATCTGTAAATACATGCATGAGATCGGAATAAAAAGTGTTTTTACTAAGTGTTGTACCGTCCACACTACAGAAATAACGAATTTTTCATTTTGAAAGAGAGCTACCCATTGCTAAAACCTTTAGTGGTAGGATCTTGGTTTTATCACATATTCGAGCTTTAATTATGTCGAGGGTATAAGCTTGTTTGCCGCCTTCCATTGCTGTGAGCCGCTTCAATGTCTTCCTTATAATGCAGATCACCTTAATGCGGAACAGGAAATTACTTCACTCTCTTCACTGTTCGTTCTTTCATCTTTCCTCTTATTTTCAATGTTTCAAGGGCCATTCTATCATTACCGACTGTGGCGATTCGTTCAAAAAAAGTTCGGCGTATGTCAAAGCAGGAAGGGCTGCAGTGTGGAAAAGGTGAACGCGGAGCTGGATGTTCACTGTCTTCTTCATTGCTCCCTCATAATTCTTGAATGCTTCCCACGCAGCGCGCATCCTTATAGTCCACTACGGGGCCATGTCGTTCGTCATATTGACATTATCTGGATGCACGTAGACGCATTTGGTGATATTCGTTCCGATTGACATAAAGGGAGCATCACGTACCAATCCGTATATGATGAACATCTTATTCGTCAAGTTCAGTATTATGCCGAAATTCCATAGGCGCTGTTCATTCCGGCCAGCATTCTTTCGCTTGTCGAGTTCGGGGTTATAAGTGCAGTTTCGCTCGCAAAGCGGAGGTGATGTAAGTAGCTATCTACTTTCACTCTCCTAGCCTAACATCCCATTAAGGGTACGATATTCTCGAGAGCGGCATTGAGAACTTAGGAAGAAATCATATTGCTCTGCAGGATTCCGTCCATCACGTTGACAGTGACTTCTTGCTAGCATGGTTGTCCTTCATCTAATATCCATTCCTGTTAAGGATGACGCGAAAAATTTATAGAGGGTGGCTGAAAAGTATAGGACGCCACACTTTTAAGCGTAACTTCGAAGATATCGAACAGGTAGACAAATCTACTTTATTAAGGATTAGAGTAGCGCTGCGTGATCACTTAGTACAGGAGGTATTCGAAGTTCGGTTCTTTTGCTTTTTCATAGGCATCTAGACGTTCGATAACTGAGCCAACAGTGGGCCGCAGGTTGTCAACGTCAATATCGTCCCACACCTTCTGAAGAACCAACGCCAGAGCGCCCAATGAGCGTTACGAGCTTCCTGCGATCGTGCTTATCAAGTGCCCCCACACAGAGTGATCTGCTGGATTGAGTTCTGGCGAAAAGGAAGGTCATATATTCCCGCTACAGTACCCGGAGAAATGCGCAGTGGCTATGGCTTTCGTCAATTTTCAGGCATGCGAAGGGGTCCAATCTTGTTGAAGGATGAGCGATTACGGGATGATCACTGACCAAGATTGACAGAGCGTATACTGGAAAACCTTCTGATGAACTTCGGAGCCGATTTTCACAATTTTGTTGATAAAGTCCAATACGTTTTGCAATGTGATGTCCCCCGGCACGTATAGCCACGCTTTCGAGAGATAGTCGACGCTCACGACGACGTTTTAGCAACGCTTCGTCAGCTTTCGGCTATGATCGTCCATGGTTTTGATGGTTTGAGGATGTCCTGGTGGAGCTGTTCTCATCAGTTCAGATCACATTAGAGATGCGGTTCGTCTCTAGCTCTCAAAGAAGTTTTTTTGCATTTCATCAGCCGACTTTGTTTGGAATTCTCCAGAACAGGTTGTACTCGACAGAGCCGACAACTATTCCGCTTTAGGCAACATCGAACTATCTTTAGATAATAATATTTATTACATGCAAGAGTACATGTAATTAGAAGTGAACATTGGAAACATAAAGCAGTAAAAGCACATAATACTAACTCAGTATGCAACACTAACGCAAACAGCAAAAAGAAAAAAATTAGAGGTAGTATAGCTCCAGAGGTCTCAATGGAGGTAACGAGATAACAAATTTCTAAAACATGGAAGAGCCCAAGGAATGCACAGTCTTTAGTCTTTACTCATTCTGGAATATTCTAATCCGGCACGGAACGTGAAGAAACTCCGCCTAAGGGAAAAACTTGGCCGAGGGAGAAGTATTTCGAGTTTACTACCTCTGGTGGTAGAAGCAACCAA